TACTTTCTAGATTTTAAAGTATATTAGAAACTACAGTAATGGAAATGAGAAATTGTTTTGAACTGATGATTGTAAAAATATTATGTATCAAAATCTATAGGATTGTACAAAAATAGTTCTTAGAGAAAATGTACATATTAAAGAGGTAAAATTGAAAAAACACTGAGATAGGTATCTGTCTTACCTACTTGGCAAAGCACAGAAAAAGCAGAAATAGTAAAGATGAAGCAGAAAAAAAAAAAAAGAAGTGATTAACGTAAAGAGGTAAGAGATCTCCACAGAGACAGTTTCAGAACACTCAAGAAACATGTTGGACTCTGCATGCTGTGTCAGCCCCGCCCTGGGCTGCGCAGAGCTGGTGATGGAGTCTGGGCATGGTGGCATGCGCCTGTAATTCCAGCACTAGGGAGACAGATATCAGGAGGATCACTACGAGTCTGGGCTGTATAGTGAAACCCTGAAAAAAAAAAAGAAAAAAGAAAAAAAAGAAATACCAGAAATCTAAGAAATACATTGGAGAAGACACTAGAAGATGGAAAGACCTGCCATGTTCATACATTGGCAGAATTAATATTATTAAAATGGCCATATTACCAAATCCCCATCAGAATTCCGCTAACATTGTTCACAGAACTAGAAAAGTAGTCCTATGGGCTGGTGAGATGGCTCAGTGGTCTAAAGCACCTACTTAGAACAAGCTAAGCCAAGCAAAGCACAGGGACCGCGGTTCAATCCCCCAACACCACATGCCAGCCCGCCCGCCCCCTGGTGGGCTGAGCTGGCCACACACAAAATAAATAAATAAATATTTAAAAAAAAAAAAAGAAAAGTCCTAAAACTCTTAGGGAAACACAAAAGACTTAAGAGCCAAAACAATTCTCAGCCACAAAGCAAGGAGTGGAGGTATCACAGTACCTGATTTCAAATTACACTAGAAAGCGACAGTACTAAAAACAGCATGGTTAAAAACAAAAACAAAACAGCGTGATACTGGTACAGAAATAGACAGGTAGACCAGTGGAATTGGAGGACACAGAAACAGATCTATACAGCTGTTGACTTCAGGCCGCCACCCCCTTTAGTGGAAACTGAACCTCTGGCCTTTGTGCAGAGTGCTCAGGTCCCTTGTTACTCTCCCTTTTTGAGACAAGACTTCCCTTATCACTCGGTTGCCCAGGCTGGGCTCTAGCTTCAGCCTCCCACAGTGCTGTGGTTTCGGGTGTGCACCACCACATCCAGCTTTCAGCTGTCTGATTTTTGTCAAAGGAGCAAAAACATAGTTTGGGAAAAAAAACCCTCTTAAATGATACTGGGTAAACTTTATATCCATACATAGAAGACTGAAGGGGCCTGGGAGATAGCTCAGTAGAATAAGCACTTGCCTGACAAGTGCAGGGTCCTGAGTTCAATCCCCAGTACCGCAAAAACAAAAACAAAAAAACCTGAAATTAGATCTCTATCTCACCCTATACAAAAATCAATTCAGAATGGATCAAAAACCTAAATATAACATCTGGAACTCTGGATCTGGTAGAGGAAAATACAGAAACACTTGAAGCCATAGATACAGGCAGAGACTTCCTGAATAAGATTCTAAAAGCACAGGGAATAAAAGTGAAATCAAACTATACTGAATTAAGTTTCTGCACAGCAAAAGAAACAACCAAAAGTAGTGACAGCCTACCGAATGGGCGAAAGTCTCTGTGAGCCACTCTTTGACAGTATTAATAAAGAACTAAAAAGTTCATTACCCAGGCAATCAGTGGGCAAATAAATTCAACAGACATTTCTCAGAAGAAGTACAAATGATCAATAATATGAAAAAAAATGTTTTAACATTGTTAGCCATTAGGGAAATGCAAATCTAGATTATATGGAGATTCCATTTACCTCAGTCAAAATGGCTGTCATCAAGAATATAGAAAATAATAAATGCTGGTAAAGATGTGGAGGTCAGAGATAGCAGGGATGAGGAACGCTTCTATACTGTTGATGGGAATGCAGATTAATACAGGCGCTATGACAGTTCCTCAAAAGGCTAAAACCATATGACCCAGGCATACAACTCTGCCATGCACGTGAAAGCACATAGCTGAAGTCAGCATACTTTGGGGACAGCTGCATATCCATATTTATTGGCAGCACAATAACCAAGATGTGAACCCAATGTAGGTATCCACCAACAGGAAGGACAAAGCTATGACATTTATAGGAAAATTGATGGAACTGAATTTGTGATTTAGTCTTTGCCATTTCCTGCGGGACTAACCCTAAACCATAAGCCAGTCGTTTGATGTTGGATGCTTTAGTGGTGGGTAGATGATCCAGAGGTGAGGGAAAATTTTGTGCTAAATTTTTAGAATTTAGATGAAAAAATCAACTTTACTTTGTTTTCTCTAAGGGATGGTTTAATTCCTGATTCACTTTTGAAAACTAGCTGTGAGCCTAGTTGAGATTTCTGGTGTAGGGCTGAGGATGTATAGCTCAGCAGCACAAGTGCCTGCCTGGCAAGCGCAAGGTCCTGAGTTTGATTCCTGGTACAAAAAAAAATATTTCTGGTGTGTGTGGTAGTGTGAGATGGTAACTGATACCCTTTCAGTACTATTCTGGAAAAAAGAGCAATACTTAAAGAACATCAAGAAATATTTACCAGACCCCCTAATATATGTGAGACATTGTATCATTTACTGTGTTTCTCATAGCCAGTCAGACTGAATTATCTTTAAGGATAAATGACTAGGTTCTAGCTTTGAGAAATTTAAAAACAAAGCTCAATACAAGGAAGTGATAACAATAGGAGCATATGGTGGTGTAAGAGCTAGGTGGCACCTGCTTCACGGGGTACCTCTATAACTGTTAAGTGGTATGTTTTATTAGAAATTTTTTGGGGCCAGGGAGATAGCTCAGTAGCATAAAAAGGGCCTGACTTCAATCCCTGGTTCTGCTCCCCCCACAAAAAAAAAAAAAAAAAGGAAAAAGAAATTTTTCTGTTGCTGGGATTCATGGTCTAATGTTTAAAGAGTTCTAGAAGATTTATTAGTTGGCTTCGTGGTATCTGATTGTTGTGAAATTAATATAGAATACTATGTATATATGCTTTGTGGTGGTAGAAGAGGATTCATTGGCTTTTCACAGATTGTCAGTGGGTTCAAAAGTTTAAAGAATTGTTGCTCTGTGGATTAAGAAAAGTTTACATTGATAAACTTTTTTTTGTTTTTGCTGTTTTATGTTTACATTTGAGGAACCAACTTAAAACTGTTTATATATGAGATTATCATTGATTTTTCACTCATTGTGTATTATTTTGCCAGTACTTTAACCAAGAACTTTTTTTTAAGGTTCAGGAGCAAGTGCATCCAACTCTCTCAGCTCATGAAGAGTCTCTCTATTACATTGAAGAGCTGATTTTTCAGCTGCTAAGTAAATTATGCATGGCTCAACCAAGGACTGTTCAAGATGTAGAGGTGAATGCTGTTTCGTTATTTTAAAAAGTCATTGAATCACTATAAATTCACTTTTGTATCATTCTAACTAATTATAGGAACTAAAATCACTGAATATGTGTAATACATATGGTTGCTTCTTTTCTAACAAAATATTAAGTCAGCTCATGGAGGAAAAGTTTTCCAACAAAAGAAAAAAGTTCTATAACAGTCATATAAAAATACAGATGTGAAAACTTTGAAATCCATCTCACACTGGGGGCCTGCCCTTAGCTCAGTTGTTTAAGCACCTGCTCATGCAAAGGCAGTCAGGAGCAGGATACGAGGTTCAATCTCCAGCTCCACCTGCCTTACCAGACCTGCCCTTCAGGAAGCCTGAGCAAAAA